TCCTCGAGAGCCTGACGAAGCTGATCTTCGGTATATTGAGGCATTATATATAGAAGAAGACATGTGCAAAAGATGAGCCCATTTGGACGCGAATTGAAAATGTTGTGATAAAAGGAGGTTGGGGGTGGGCATTGGGTTGTGGTGGATTTTCGCGTTTTTGTGGGTGCCAGAAACAGGGGGGTGCCAGGAAGTGGGTATGTTGACTTACAGCGCCGAGGTTGCGGAGTTTCGAGTCGCTTTCTTCGTGGCGGGAGAGACCGTGGATTTGGTAGCCATCTTTGATTGCGAGTTCTGTTATGACGGAGCCTACGTAGCCACTGGCTCCGGTTAAGAAGATGCGCTTTTGGGGGATTTGAGAAGTCATTGATGGCTTGACAGGTTATGAGGTGAGTTAAGTATGTGACGGAAATGAATGTTGTCGTAAACCGAGTTTTCACTTCATTGTGTTGGATGAGCTTACGGACTGTCTTATAAGTAAGTATTCAAAGGCCTCTAGGTTGAAGCTACAATCAACCTACCCAACGTCCTGGATTGCCTCAATTCGTAGTCTCTGTTCGGGGTTGTTTCCTTGCACGCCGTGGTTGAGTAAGCAAGACGCGGAATTAAGCACAACCAACCACAATCTCCATATACCCTCGATTGGTTGCCTAATCCAGTAAACAGTCGATCCTTCAATGTGACATCCTAGTTCGACTGCATAACCGATTGCTAATATAACGGTGGTAAGACTAGAAAAGCGCATCAAGAGAGGACTCTTGCCGAGTTCGAAGCTTCGGAAGTTTCGACTTGTCCGCTATTGACCCGATGCTTAGCTGAGTCGTGCTGCCAACGATGTCGTCAAATCAGTTAGTGACTTGCTTGGCCGGTCGGGTTTAAGTATGACTTAACCCCTTCTCATAACACAAATTGAAGATGGGCATCAGAAGACTTTGGAATCATGCCTCACTTTTGAGTTTCCTAAACAATGCCCCTTTTAACGAAATCAACCTTCCAAATTGAGTCAGTCTGTGTTACTGGGGCCATGATTGATGGATGAAGCTTCATGAGCGTGAGGTTGAATGCGATTCAAAGAACGATTGAGAGCTTCTCATTTGTCAAGTGAATACTAGGAGAGATGATTTCCAAGGAGAATTAACTCTATCACGAAATTAAGGTAGTTCGTAATGGACTCACAGCCCCCTCATGTTCTTTGCCAGATACACGAGGCACAGCGTGCTGATGATGAGTGCTGGTGTTTTTTACCGTGAAGACGAAGTGATAAACGGTACGAAGTATTATGAAATTGGGGAATCCTACGGAGACTAGACAGACAGACTACCAAGAAAACATGAGCTCATTGAAACCGGACACTATCATCCAAAATCAGATCTTGCCCGTCACACCAGGCTTGATGGCCTCCAGCTTCTGCACCAACTCATTCCAGGCACGATCTTGCGCCTCCTTTCCCTCCTTACTTCTCACAAACGGCGATGGCTCCTCGATACCGCAGTCAGACATGTACTTGCCGTGAGTATCGGCACCTGAGGCCCCGGCATGAACTAGCGTCCTGCTGCCGTACTCGGTCGTGCGAGCCAGGAGAAGCTTCATGATCCACAGGGTCCAGCCACCGGCCTCGCGTCCCAGCTCCGAGTGGCAGAGACCCGGGTTGACGCAGTTGACGGTGACGGGATACTCGGAAGCCGGGTGCATTTCTGCGATGGTCCTGACACCGAGGACCTCGAGCAGCTTTGAGAGAGGGTAGAGCTTGCCTACGGCATCGTCTGAGGCCTTTGCCCTTTCCTTGATGGTGTTGTAAATCTCGCCATCGGGGGCGGTGCGCTCCTCAAAGTTTGTCCAGGCGTGCACCTCGGAGGCGGTAATTGTGAAGGTAGGTCTCGTGTTGAATCTGGAAGCAGTCTCCTTGAGCTTGGGCAAGACGAGGGCAGTGAGCAAGAAGGTGGACACGACGTTGACGGTGATGGTGCCCTCCTCCCCTTCCATGTCCTTGAACTTGTTGTGCACCACACCGGCGTTGGCGATGAAGATGTCAACGCGCTCCAGCTCAGACTTGACACGCTCAGCAAACTTTTGGACGTTGGCGTAGCTGGACATGTCTAGCTGCCAGACGTCAATGACGTCCTTGCCGCAGCCGGTGGTGGACTCGATATCCTGCTTGGCGGCCCGGCCCTTGTCGAGACTTCGGACGGCGATGATCAACTTGCTGGCGCCGAGACGGACGTAGTGCCGGGCGGCTTCCTTGCCGAGACCCACATTGCTGCCGGTGATGATGATGGTCTTGCCCGCATATGAGCCGGTGGGATACGGCAGGGACTTGAAGAGCTGGCTATAGATGAAGCCCATTGTGTGCTGTAAGTGTAGGGTATAGTAGTGATTGATACGTAGATGATAGTGAAGCTAATGAATTCAGTTCTGATGATGAGAGGGGTTTCTCAATGACATGACGTTGAAAATCGCGTTTGGACGAAACCATTATATACTACCTATGGCCGCTTGCGACTTCATCCCAAGTCTATGACGGAGTTAGCAAGGGGGAGCGGAGCGGAGACCGCGCGGACCAGTTCCAGATGGTCGGGAGGGGACTAAACTTTCAAAGTGCAAGTCGGGACGTAGATGGGGTCCGCTGGCCGGGCGCGAGCAACCTTAACTCCATGCCGTGTCTCAGAATAGCGCAAAGAGGCGTATCTGTCAATTCATTTCGTTGGCTGCCTTCTGCAGTGATGTTGAGCTAGGTAGGTAGACGCCCATCCTACTGGTCGGACTTGTCACACATTGGAAGAGTTTCAAGCTCCGTATGTTGACGAATTTGTCTATTGGGGAGCTCATGTGCATTTTGGGTGGTCGAGAGGGGGGATTTGATGGGGGCACTGGGCATAGGTATCGTTGGCGGAGTTAAAGCGCTACTTGATCAGGCGAATTGCCAGCGAGGGCCTTCAGAACTACCCACATTTATACCTACGTAGAGACCTCAATGGGATTGGGAATAGTTACTGATTTGTGTGCCACAAAACTGGGCGGATTTCGTGCGAACGATCATTATAGTCAGGGAACCTTGTTGCAAGTCGCATGCATCGTACCTTGGCTGGACCACATCCAAGTGGCTGACTCAATTTCTCACTCAAAACCAACGACAACCAAGTCCTGGGAATGCCGTAAGCGACTTTGGCAATCTGGCCGCCTCCAGGCCACTCCTCTAATCTCATGACCAAAGGAATGGACCTGCAGAAATCTTGATTTTCAATGATCATACTCATGCCACCTGCTGAATTGTATGTGGTAGAAGAGCTCGAACATTCACACAGCTACAACTTCACGATGATGAAAGTTGACAACGTATGTGTGAAGATGAGCGGCGCTAGCTGGATCCCTGAGATCTAGAACAGAAACGTGAAGCCTTTCTAACCCAGCTTCACCGGCGCATGTATGTCATTAAGTTGAGATAATAGAACTGTCCGGTACACGAGCGCCTGAAGCCATCATGACTGAACGTAATCGCGTGTAAAGGCTCCCGAATGGTGTTTTGTCGCAAAAGGTTCCTGTTACCAGAGCGCCAGAGGTAGTGCCCTCACCCCCAAACAACCGCCTGTCGGCCACTGTGCAAGCAAGCTTTGTTCGTTGCCGGCTCGGCCAATTTGCCCCGGGTTTAAGCACTAAACCCCGGATTTTGCGGACCTGGGCCCTAAAGACGCCAAGGTCCGCTGCGTCTTCAGAACCAAAGTCCCAAATGCTGCGACACTGTTCAAAAGGACTCACAAGGAACGGACAAGAAAAGAGTCCGTCAATTGCCCGTTGCACTGTTTGGCAACTTTACGGTGGAAATGTGGCAGATTTTCCGTTGATACACCGGCTACGAAGCCAACTAGCCACCATCGTCTGACAAACATAGACTCTACACCTGGCCATGAGCAATGGACATAGACGGTCTTAACAGTGTTTTACCATCTCGAAGCCACGATAATCCAACTGAAGCCTGGTGATACTCAAGGTGTAAGGCTTCATGATGCGGATTTTACAACTATCTCCTCAGTACCCTCGGCCAGTGCTGATGAATCCACGCCGACGGTCAAGGTAAGATGGTCATTCAATGTCATGGAGGATTCAGGATGTTTGCTATATAACCATGAAATTTCAGCCGAACATCGTGAATAAGTATCTCATCAATTCACGCTCACCGCAACATCTCCAATCTTGACATCAACACCAGAATCAAAAGCACCATAACCCTCAACTTCCTTCAAAGCAATCACCATTCACAATGTTTGCACTTCCCGTTCCCGCCTCTCTTCAGAAGAGCCTTGACACCACCAAGGTTGAATATGTAAACCTGGGAACTTCCGGTCTTCGGGTGTCCGTTCCAGTGCTGGGCGGCATGTCCCTCGGGTCTAGCGAATGGGCGCCGTGGGTGCTGGACGAGGAAGCATCGCTTGAGATCCTCAAGGCCGCCTACGACCGCGGCATCAACACCTGGGACACCGCGAACATGTACTCCAATGGCATCAGCGAGGAAGTTATCGGCAAGGCCATCAAGAAGTTCAGCATCCCCCGCGAGAAGATCGTTCTCATGACTAAGTGCTTCATCTATGTCGGCGAGGAGACGAACCTCCACACTACCATGTTTCCTCAAGAAGTGCCCAAGAGCAAGGACTACGTCAACCAAGGCGGTCTCTCCCGCAAGGCCATCTTCAAGGCTGTCGACGATGCCCTCTCTCGTCTGGGAACGACGTACATCGATCTGTTCCAGATCCACCGCTTCGACCCGACCACGCCCATTGAGGAGACTATGAAAGCTCTCCACGACCTCGTTCAAGCCGGCAAGATCCACTACATCGGCGCCAGCTCCATGTGGGCCACCCAGTTCGCGCGCATGCAGTTTGTCGCCGAGAAGAACGGCTGGACCAAGTTCGTCAGCATGCAAAACTTCTACAACCTCGTCTACCGCGAGGAAGAGCGCGAAATGAACCGGTTCTGCAAGGAGACAGGGGTGGGTCTTCTTCCCTGGTCGCCGCTCTACGGCGGAAAGCTGGCGCGGTCTGTCAAGGCCGAAAACACCAGTATCCGATCCCAAGGCAAGGGTCCGATGAACCCCGATCTCAGCGAAGCTGATGAGAACATCATTCGCCGGGTTGAGGAGATTGCGGAGAAGAAGGGGTGGAGCATGAGCCATGTCGCGCTCGCTTGGATCCGTTACAAGGGCGGAGTTCCCATCACCGGCTTCAACTCTGTCAAGAGAATCGATGAGGCATGCGAGCTGCGGGGCAAGACTCTGACTGATGAGGAGGCCAAATACCTGGAGGAGCCCTATGTTCCTAAGAACGTCATTGGTCACGACTAGATGTTCACGTAGCACCTCATTAGTAGCACTCAATTCCACATATTTGCTTCTTCATATAAGGCGGGCGCTTAATTGAAGGTGCTAGATGAATCTGGGTTGAAGTTATGTCACATACCCACGTTGTGGAAGTTGGTACTACTGAGATTCATCGACCCTGGAAAACTACCCTCTGAGAAGTATGTACTACAATTCACTGACATGTATGTCTAGTTTCTTCCTACTCAGGGGTCTGCGGTCAAACCCCACCTGGCGCATACTCCCTTAAGGCCTTCGCCATTGGGCCAAAGGCCGCCCCCTCAAGCACCGTCTCACTCGTCCTCCAGCCAAGCGACCACGGCAACCTTTCCTCCACGAAACTTGCATTGATCCAATCCCTTCTCGCCTTTCCATCCTCGACACTTCCTCCAAGCGCGGCAAGAAGACCACTCATCTGCTCAACTGTAGCCGCGACACCAGCGGCATCAAGCACAAACTCGGGATTCTCCTTCCTCGCATCCTCGAGTCTCGCAGCACCAGCCTCAGCAGCTTGCTTCCAAGTAACGAACTCGTCAGGTAGTCTAGCCACGAAAGAATCCCAAATCGTTCTATTGAATCGCAGGTTATCACCCAGCGCTAGGTCTCCGCGACTCAAGCTTCCGTCGTGATCCAGTGGCTTTTGCGCCAGGTCGTCGAGGTGGAAAGTCCCGTTCACACCCGTGGTGGAGTATTTCAGCGCCGCAGGGACGGGGCCTGCAGACACAGCGCTGGAGAAGTTGAAGGCTTGCATCTGCGCTACCGTGGCGCTTTCACTTGAGATGAAGGCGCCGTCGCGGTTGATGTAGCCGTGATTGGCGAGGATATTAAGGGCTGGGCATGGTGAGCGGCGGTCGGTTGAGCCTGGGGCTATGTATGGGTGCTCTGCGTGCTCGAACTGCGCGTTTGCGATGGCGGCTAATAAGGCTAGAGCCACATATGAGAAGGTCTGATGACGCATGGTGGCCTGTATTATTTGCTGTTGAGAGCAGCAGATAACAAAGAACAGATGTGAAGGAGTGGCCGGGAGAAAAAACACTGATTTCACGCAGCAGATAATTCAATTGATGCTCTCGATAGTCAAAGCTTCAGAGCTCCGTTGGAAGACTGAGTTACCTTTTGCCTCCTGTACTTATATTCTTCCTTTGTCATGAACGGTGAGGCATATTTCTTCAACACTACTGAGAAACCTTACAAATCTTACAAATGGGCTCTTCAAGCCAGCTAGCCGGCGTCCGTAATGAGAAATACGGGAAGCGGCATTGGCCGAATAATTTCTTGAAGGCTCAATAGAGTTTCGATTTAATCTCGGGTGAGTATTCCTGGTGCTCGGCGGCTCCGGCATACCACGGTCCTATAATTGAGTTTCGGTGACCCTGCAATGCGGCTTTCGACATCCCGGGACCCACAGCCGGGCCGCATTCTCACCGCTATCTTTCTACATCACTATAAGATCCTTCTTGACACCCCAAGTGCTCGAATGTAGCCGTGAAATATTTTGTCACATCATCGCCAAACAATTCGTAAACCGGTAAGTCACTCTATATCCAACGAAACCTGGCTATAGTTGGTATGACGAACGAACGGCTTCACATATTCCTCGGGGCGTGTATCACAATTCTCCTAGTTTCCTGAGGCCTGAAAGAAAAGACGGTAAAAGCCGTCAATCTAGAATCAGCGATTCGCGTGGTTTTTTTGTCATGTTATGTCGCCTATCCAAGAGAATTCTATGAGATCTGGACAGCTCGGCAGAAGGGAATCGGAAGACTGTCTGCAGTGTTCGCTTGGAAACCAGCCACTACCATTACCCGGAAAACATACTATAGGGTTTCTCTATACTGTATTATTCCACATCTGAGTGCCATAGCTTATGGGTGACAAATATAGTCAAATAGAATGAAGCCTTAGGTTTCGGGCGATTCCCCGTAGAGCTACTCGACCATCCATCCGGGTGTCATCTTCTTTGCAATATCACGAGAACACTGCACTCCATCATCGTCAACGTACACCGTTGCTTCTCTGAGACCGAGGTCTGTGAGATGATCTTGGACGTCCTTCTTGGACGTCCTTCTTCGTCATCTCGCTCCTCGCGACAACAGCCTCAAATCTCTTTCCGAACTCTTTCACCTGATACCCGCGTTCAATCTCATCGTCTTTGAATTGTGGGAACCCAGAAGCAAACTTCTGAGAAGTGGCTTACATAAGTGAACCGAATCTTCAGGGGTGACCTCCATAAAAGGTTTAGACGTGTCATAGAAGTAGCTCGTTAATCCAACAATGCAAGCCTTGGGCCCGTCGTGGATTCTACGACTAGTATCCAAAAGCCTCATAAGATTCTCGGACTCTTGTGCTGAGCTGAATCTCAAAGTGCGATACCTAGCAGCTATTGAAGCAACCAAGTCAGACGCCGATAGAACAACGTAGACAGTCCACCGAGACTGAGACAGAGGAACCGGGAGGCGATCGATGTAAAACAACTACCCATATCCAGGGTCGAAAGAAAGTGTGATCAAAACCCTTTGTTGGAAGTTTGCATTGTGGTGTGCGAAGCATTCCAAAGCGTGTAAAAAAGAGCGCCGCGTTTCGCAACTTTCGATTCTCGACGCGATTTACATTTTGTAATGTTTGAAAACGGCGTCTTAAACATATTTGAGAACGTTGCTCCCACATGTTTTCGATCTGGATCAGCCCCATGCTCGAGAAGCTTAGAAATCAATGGGCTACTCATGAACGGGGTATTTCTTTAAGACAGCGATGAACCTCTCAGGCCGAAACGCCTTTCTGCACGAGTAGTGATGTATCAGGCCTCGCCGGTTAAGGGATAGCTTAAGGGGCATTAGGAGGAGGAGGACCAAGCAACAAAGGAGCAGCTCAGACATATATAGAGCGCTGAGAGTACACCTCGAGGGAAGGGCAGATTTCAGTAATTCATCTTCTAGACCCTAACAGCAGTTGGCCTCTGTGAGCTTCTTCCCTGTGTCATACACCTATTGACATAATGCTTTTCACTCCCTTGTTGTCGTCTACATTAATTTCAAGTATTTCATGCCTAGCCCTTAAACGATGTTCGCAATTCTAGCTTCATGTCCTGAGCTGTGTCTTCTACCGATTCGTCACCCGCACCACTAATAAATGATAATTCATCATTCTGCGTCATCTTTTCGTCAGGTGGGAGCGTGGGAAGTACCTTTAGGGAAAGGTTTTGCGAGTTCATGTCCTATAGAGTAGTGAGACCCTGTGATATCTGAAGTACTATTCTTTGGAATAGACTTTTCACGGATATAGATTGTAGGGCTTACGTTATAAACCTCAGCCAAGATGTAGTGACAGCGAAGAAATGCTGGGTCGGGCAGGTTCTCGTCACCATTGTGCGCACTAAACTGAACTGTGGGAGGCAGGATTCTTCTGAGATAGAACCGTTCGGCGGAACCAAACCATTGGATGGCATATTGATTCTAAGTCAGTTAGACACATATATGTTTCGAATTGCAGCTCATTAAGGAACTTACTTGGACGCCTGTGGACTTGAAAGCCACCTTCAGCTTTCTAAATTGTTTATGCAGCGTGTCCATCAACGTCATAACATTTGGAAGCTGGTTTATGCTTTCAGAAGCAATTGCTCCTTGAAGGTCGGTGAAATATCGATGATACGCGAGCCAAATTGTGGCAATTTTCACCGTCTACAGCATAGTGTAAGCATTCTGGTCACCCCATTTGTACAGGGATACTTACTTGGATATAACTACCGTTGGTAGTGGAGAGAGAGTAAGGAATGCAATGTGCACAATTAGTGCTGCATATCTTTCCCTGAGAAGGCTCCTCCCATGTATCAGACCAGTATTGGCTGACCATGCACTTCCCGCCGTCCCTCTTTAGACACTCGTTTCTCAGTGTCGCATCTCTCGGTACTGTTTCAACTTCGTGCAGAATGCTTTGTATCTCAGTCTGGGTGTCTTCATCCACCGGTTGGGAGATGAGTCCCTTTGCTCTTCCACGAGCGAGCACTGTTAGGTCAGTTATTAATTTGAACACGTATCATGTAGATGATTTGTTACTCACTAGGCTTAAGCAGCGCGTCGATTAAATGGTTTCTGAGAGCACGGAGGTTGTCTGGCTCATTTTGGTATAACCAAACCTCCGCCGCAAGAGTGGTGAGGCCGTTTCCCTCGAGCCGACGTAAGAAAATCTTCAACACGTGGCTGGTATCGTCGGACGGATCGCTTGGGACGTATGCATCGCAAGTGTCAAGCGCTACTGTTACTCCTAGTCGAGCCACCGAGTCGTCTCCGAGAGTTGAAAGCCTTTCCTCTATCAAGGCTCCATCAAGCTCGGGATGTTCTGAGACTGACATCGTGAATGACGACTGCTTTCCCTTAGACTGGATGATTCCAAATGTGTCTGTCGTTGGAAAGAATTTCAGGAGGCTACGTCGACTGATGACGTCGGAACATAGTTACGTACCTCTCATGAGTGCAGAACCAGTGAGGTGCGCAACTTCTCCAGGTTCTCTAACCAAGAAGGTGCGCAACTTCCCCAAGTTCTCTCACCAGGAAGGTGCGCAACTTCTCCAGGGTCTCGAACTTAGCTGAAACTTTGACAAACTTATCATAGCCTGGTTATCGAGAGGCGCAAATTTCGACATTTTGAACGGTACACAGGTTGTGTATGATCTCTAGGAGTCTCAATACGCCGTCTTCGAGGCTCACTTCATCCATACCATCTAAATAGAAACATATGGGACGATTGTAGTGCTGAATGGTGTTGAAGAAGAGCGTTTAGAGTTCCTTAGCAGTCTAATAACACCAACTCACTTCGAGACTGTACCCAACAGCAGTGTGCCGAGCGAGAAGTGATGCTTCAAGTATTAGCTGTACACTCACACGCCATGTAACCTCATCCAAACCCATTCATCCGTTCCATCTCCATTCAACCAAACCAGCCCTTGAAAAATCAACATCGCTAGCTAAATCGCCATAAACACATCACCGCATCCCCATTGTCATCACCATCAGGCTCAAAAAGGCAGATGCCAAGACCCCTCCAAGCCCTTGCATCTTTCGCCACTTTTAACCGACGACTGCCGGCAGGAAAACGGGAGCCGGGGAACGGACCCGAACCAGAAGTGTTAGGCAAACACGGCAAGGTAAAGCAGTTAGACCAAAAAGCGCCACCCGACAAATAAAAGCTGCAGGTGAGCCGATTCAGGAAATTCAAGCTCGCTGTTGGCATCGTCATTGAGCTGCAGTGGCACTGAGAGCACTTACGGCAGGGCCTCTTGGAAGGTGTCACGGGATCGCAGAGGATGCACGCAGATCGGTTAGTTCAATCGGCAACTCCTCTGATCTTCACATTTCTGCGACAAGTAGATTGAGTAAGACCGGACTACTCTAAGTATTGATTGGGAACTGATTTACAGAAAATTGGTTATTCTAGCTCCTGAGAGTGGCGGGAAAGAATCTGCACCGGACACTAACAAACACCAACCCCGCAATCGAGAATCGACCATGACAGAAGCGTGTTGCTAGCCCGACGGCCACACAAAGGGAGCTTCTGTAGTGTCAAACCCTCGCCTGGGACTTGGAAGTCGGTGCATACTCGCGCGTGACCTAATTCTTTGTAGATAATGCTTGTGCTGGCGAGGCTGTGTAGAAAGGAGAGAAGCACCGCACAACACCGGTCCAACCACTCGGTTTGCCCACCATGCCGGCCTGTCGCCTGTGAAGCCTGAGGAATTCTAATCGAGGAACTATGCAGCCATTGAGTGCCCAAAGTCTTTCTGCGGCTCTAAGGCGAAGGCACGGCCATTGCATGGTAGCAAAAGAATCGGGTGGCTGATCCTTCGACCTGTGTGCTTCTAGCTGGCAGGTGACAAGCCACGAGGGAATTCGATTGGCTTGATGCTTAATAGCTCAGTTCTTCTGCAATTGAGCACCTCGACTTGGCGCGCTGCGGCGCTTTCATGGCGGCTACCCCAGATCTGCATTGTCTCAATGATCGAACCAGTCATCACGACAAAGAGAACCTCAACCCCGCGAGTAGAGAGACGGTGAAGTTGGAGGATGGGTGGGATTGGCGGGAGGCAAAGGTTAGATACCATAGCGGCACTTGGATGGAGGGCTATGTAGCGGTGCGGCACTGCGGAAGGCCAACGGAGCCGGCCGCCGGTCGAGATCAGTCCATACCAAAGGTGTTAGTCAAAAGCTCCCATTAGTCGGCGGGTTGGTGACAGGTCAGTGACGACGACGACAAGTTCCGAGGTTCGATGGCGGTGGTGCCGGACAGGGGTCGAGCTCGGACCTGGGCACAGCTGCACCTGACTACCACGCTAGAATCCGGTGGTTTGGATCCATTTACACTGCCTATCGATCGTTAGCTTTGGCAACCAAGAGGACGGGCATTTGGAATGGGGGAAGAGGCAACGATCGTGCGTGCACGGCGCCAGCATCATCAGTCAACACCAAAGACGCGGGTCGGCGTTGCCATTCAAGGGCCCTGCGACTCACGTGTCCCGAGAACTCGGGATGGGCTGGGGATGGCCTGGTTGCTGGGATGGACGTGCAGCGTACCGCAGCCTGTGCTTTTCTTGTGTTCATGACGGCCCCGTGCGAGCAAAACAGCGGATGAACCTCAGGCCTGGATCGAGACACCACGTGACGAACATCGTGTGAGGTTCACGGTTCACGGTTCACGGTTCGGGCTGTGTTGGCTAGTCTTCAGCAGAGATCTTGGGGGTAATTTTTCCTTGGAAGTGCCCACCAGGGGTAGCAGGGGTGTTTAATGATAGGTTCTCCGCAGTGGAGAGAGAATCTGGACGTTCGTGGTTTTGCTGGAGAGAAAAATCCTTCCGAGCGGAGACCGACACCGTGCCCGCGTCCGGAGACCCCGTGGAGTGACAGAGTTTGCGGTGCGGTGACAATCAGTCGGTCTATTGGTACCGGTCTGGCGGTTTGTACGCTTCTTCGTATCTGTAGTTCAAGTTCGAGACGAACGGTGCGTCAGAGATCAGGCGGCCGGCGAAAACGCGGTCGTTTTACCAGTTTCCCACGGGGAAGAACAAAGAGGAGCCCTGGAGAAGAAGCACGAGGGCGGTGGGCTGGGGAAAAGAATCGAGACCAAGCCCAAACTCGGCCGGAAGCCGAGGCGATGAAGCACTGAAGCAGGCAGGGCAAGGCGACGCGCCACTGTTGACAGGCCGCTGTCGTGATTTCGGGCATGGTTGAATGGGGCCGTCATCAAAGACGGGCCGATATCACGGCCGTGACAGGTAAGAGTAAGCACCTGGGTACGGAGGCCGACCAGGGATGGCTCGGAAGGCACCCACTGGCGAACAGGCGCCGGGGGGGGGGGGGGAGGGAGCCCAAGTCTGGAGCGCCGGGGATGGAAAACTTGTTGGTCATTCGGACTTTGGGCCCTCTTAACAGCAACGCGCGCTGACTCGGGTGGGGTGGTGGTACGACGTGACTCTTTCGATTATAGGCGGTGACTTCGTAAGGACGGCTGTTGTGTACGGCTCATTGAACGAGGAGCGCGAAGCCCCGAAAGCACCCGCGGAATCAGACGAGCAAGCGCGCGATCTGGCGGAAGCAACGTCGTGATTGGGTACCGGCTTCGTGAAGCTGGAGATATGGGGTTGCTTGGAGACCCCGATATCTCCAGGCGGAGAGAAAGAGAGACAGACGGCGTCTGAAAGTGCATGTGAGGCGATCCACAACGGACAGGAACTCGGCCAAACTGGACACCAAGACGAAGTGTCTGCCATAGTAGACTCCGAATAGAGAGATCTATAGGTAGTTAGCGCATCGAGTACCACCGAGCATTGTCCCATTTGGGGCCGGGGCCGGGGGATTGGAGGAGAGATGATGGGGAAACTTGGGGGAAGGAAAAAAATAAGTTGGATGGGAATGGGGAGAAGTTGGGGGAGGGCGTGAAAGTGCGGGATGAAGATGGGATGGATTGAATGGGGTTGCATCCATCTCATGCAGTCCGGATAGCGAGATGCAGCAGCTAGCAAAGCTACTGTAGTTGTAGGTTTTGGCGAGGTTGAATGGCCCGAATAGCTTCAAATAACCGTCTAAGCCAGTTCGATTGTAGGTGTTGAAGCCTGAAGATGGCTTAGTTGAACCAAGAACAGTCAAGCGAGCTTCACACAAAAGCGTCGAGAGCTCTATCGTAAGGCGTTGTAGCTTGTGGTATCCACGGATAGGGAGAGACGTGTTGGAGGGCTGCAGGAGAGCATGCGGGAGAGCCCTTGGGGCTCCAACGTTGCGGCTTGAACTAGGGTCGCCCTTAGGATCGGAATCCATACCTACTTGTTCGTACAGCGAGCGTACCGGCCGACATGTGCCCATCCCATCACGAACGAATGACCTGGCGGATGTCGGCGGCTGAAGAGACATGGCGCTGAGCCAGATGATCCGTCGAACGACGACAGTGGAGATGTTTGGCCAGGGAGCGGCAAGGGAAGAAAAGCCACACGGGCGCCTCGTGTCTCGATTGCTGACAGTTAGAGACCGCAATGCTGCCGTGATGTCTGAGTCCAGCCGCAGATTCACCACCCAATCTCAGCGCATCGCATCGTGTCGCAAAGCATCGCCAGTCACGGGGGGGGGGGGGGCCTGTCGCAGAGGCACAGTTACCTAAGGTAGGTAGTAGAGAAGGGCGCGCCAGAGTCGGACGCAGGCCGCCTGCGTGAACGAATTAGTGATGCATCATCCAATTGCTTGACTGAAAGACGCGCCGACGTGGAAGGCTGCGAGCAAGTCAAGGCAAGACATTGGCAATTCCTTACGAAGACTTTCTTCCTTCTCGGAAGGATGACGGGGCAACAGGGACCGGGGGGTTCTGGGCGTGTCATGTTGTGGGATTGACATCTGGGCGAATCGGAGGGAGGAACCGGTGGCTCACCAGACCAAGACTTAAAAGGAAGGGCCTGAGTCTTGACACCTGGGGGAAGATGTGGGAAGGAAGGGAGGCGGCGGAGCCAATGAACGCCACAAAAAAGTGGCCGGGGAAGATACTTCGGTACTTTGCCGGTACGTACTCTGGAGATTACTGTGGAGCGACAATCTGGCACCAACTGGCAAGAACTAAGGATTGGACCTGCCCTCAGGACGGCGCTGAACGCTTGTTGCCTGCCTCTTCGGCGCTTCTATGGCGCTTTCCCCAAGTCCCTATGCCAAAAGTCTCCAGTCTACTTCTCCACGGGGGCACCTTTTTTCAATGGAATTATGGAATTATGGGAATTCCTTACTTTTAATCGTTGGGCCATGGCTGTGACAGGCCCACTGCGTGTTATTCCCACGGGACAGGTCCATGTCGGATAAAGAATACCCCTCGGGGACCCCACCAAACGCGGGTGAAAGTAACCCGAATGAAGATAATCGGGAGTTTTAGGGGGAGAAAACTCTGACACTCTTGTTCTGTAGGCCATTTGTTGGTGAAAATTCTGAAATTGCATGAAGCGATCGTGAGATTCAGGAGGTCATCAAACGTAAGCAGGTAACTGCATCTCCAAATTAGTCCACATACAGTCAAACGCTCATACCAAAACCATGTCAAACGGCGACGATGACTTGGCCAGGACCACTAGGCAAGAAAAGGAGAAGGCATGTCATCACTGGACCACGGCCACCGGGCGCTTGG